GTTTCTCCATTTGTTTACGTGATCTGTCGTTTTCTTCCTTAGTGATTTGTAGTTCTCTTTATAGAAATATTTCACCTCCTTGATTAAATATATTTCTAAGTATTTTATTTTCTTTGTAGCTATTGTGAAAGGTATCGAGTCTTTGATTTGATTCTCTGATTGACTGTTGTTGGTGTATAGGAATGCTACTGATTTGTGTATATTGATTTTGTAACCTGAGACTTGGCTGAGTTTACTTATCAATTCCAGAAATCTCTTGGCAGAATCTTTGAGGTTTTCTAAAATAAATTTTGATAGGAAAGGATTTATTACTGTCATTTTATTAATTGTTTTCTGTTTGTCTTGTATTTATTTTTTCTCCTCTTTTTTTTCCTTGATGTCTTCCTTTGTATTTCATATTTTGTTTTGTTTTGCTTTTTGTCTTCGTAGGCTTTGGTTACTCTTTTACTTTCACATAACTTCAATGGGTATTTTCTTTGTAGTTACCTGAGGAGGTTACATAAAATATAGTTATAACAGTCTATGTTAAGCATAACAACTTAATTTCACTTGCATATAAGAATTCTCTGCTTTTACCTCTCATTCTCCCACTGTATATGCTATTGATGTCCCAATTTATACCTACTTATATTATGTATCCATTGAAAAAAATTAGTTACATCTGTTGCCAAACCACCTGCTGCCAGACCACCTGCTATGTGTTCAGCTGTTGTCACCCTGCCTGCTGCCAGACCACCTGCCATAGGTGCCACCCTAGCTGCTCTGACAGTTCTTGCTGCTGAGTGTCCTGCTCTGGATCCATGAACCTTCTTGTTCCCGTCCTTCAGTCCAGACAGAGAGCGTCTATTCACAGAACACGTGGACTTCCTGATGACATGAACTTACAAATAGACCCATGGCCCAATTTGGAAACCCCAGACTCTATATTATTTATTCTCTTTTATAGAAACTTTTTTTTACTATTGAATAAGAATTTACAGTCAATATTCTGTCTCAAATAGTTTTAGAATTCCTGATTTGAAACCAAAATAGATGAGTCCTCAAATGTTCTCCTTCTAGATTTTTTCTTTCTAATGTTTTCCTGTGGAATCCATTTTCATGTGGAATTGCTTGTTGTTCCCCAATAAAACTTCTTAGCATTCAAAGACACCAAAATTGCTCAATTCTCATTATTTCCTATTAATGAAATGGTATATGCATGTTTCTGTCTCTTTTTCTGCATAACACACACAGGAGCACATGTTTTCAGGGATTATACAAGTGAAAAATTAAACTGGCATTCTCCAATGACAGTTTTATCAAAACATTAATTCACTCTCACAGCAGAAAAAGGAGAATGTGTCCTATTTCCACATCTTTGAACCTAACAGTTACAACATGAGAGCTGTGGATTGCAACAGCCAGCAAACAAACAAACAAATAAAAGGCCTAAAAAACTACATTCATGAATTGATTTAAACCAATTTAAATAGAGGAAGCTCAGTGTAGAGCATAATCCACAGACTGGAGAACTAGACAGAGTCCAGGCTGAATTCTGACTGTACCAACTATGATCTTGGACTTAACTTAAGTTCATTCAATCTAGGATGGTTTTTCTACAGAGAAAGGATTACAATTTCCATTTATTAAGGTTGTCATAAAGTAAATATATAGTCAAAGTGAGAATTCTCTGATATTGTGTTGGTGATGCATAAATCACTTTCAATTCTAGTATAAAAGTTAAAAAAGCAAACATATTAAAAATAACTATACCTACAATAATTTGTTTTGGGATACACAATATAAAAAGATGTAAATTGTAACATCAATAACCTAAAATGCGAGGGTAGGAGAGACATAAAAGTAGAGAATTTTTGTATGCAATTGAAGTTAATTTGTTATCATCTTAAAATGGAATTTTATAACTATAATACCTTCTATGTAAGCCCCATGGTAAACACAAAAAGAATACCTATAATAGATAGGTAAAAGATTAACATGAAGGAATCAAAGTATACCATTGCAAAAGTCATCGCATCACAAAGGAAGACAGCAAGCAAGAAAGGAAGGAAAAAATATCAATAAAATAACCAAAAAGAGTTAATTAAATGGCATTATTAAGTCCTTATCTATCAGTAATTATCTTAAATGTAAATAGATTAAACTCTCCAATCAAAAGTCATAGAATGGTTGACTGGATAAAAGGCAAGACCCAATTGTATGCTGTCTACAAGAGACTCACTTTAGCTTTAAGAACATACATAGGCTAAAAATGAAGAGGTGGAAAAATATATTTCACATAAATGGTAACCAAAAGAGAGTGGAGATGGCTGTACTTATATCAGACTAAGCAGAGTTTAAGTTAAAAACTACCACAGGAAACAATGAAGGTCATTATATAATGATAAAGAGATCAGTTCATCAAGGAGATATAACAATACAAATATTTATGCACCCAACATGGGAGCATCTAAATATATAAACTAACAGAACTGAATATATATATAACAGAACTGTTATATGTATATATATAATATATAGAACAGAAGTGAATATTATAGATATATTCAGTTCTGTTAGTTTATATATATAAAATATACAAAGGCTGTCAGAAAGTATCCAGCAATGTAATATGAAAAATATATTAACAATGGCTGGATACTTTCCAGACAGCCCTCATGTAACTGAAAAGAGAAATAAATGGCAATACAATAACAGTAGAGAATTTCAATATTTTATTTCCAACAATGGATGGATCATCCATGCAGAAAATCAATAAGAAAACAATTAATTTGAACAATAATATAGACCAAACAGACCTAACATATACAGAACACTCCATCCAACGGGAGCAGAATATACATTCTTCTTAGGAGCTCATGATATATTCTCTAGAATAGATAATATGTTAAGCCACAAAACAAATCTTAACAAATTTAAAAAGATTAAAATCATATGAAGTATTATTTCCAACTACAACTGTATGAAACTTGAAACCAATAACAGGAGGAAAATTGGAAAATAAAAAAGGTGGAAATTGAAACAACAGATTCCTGAACAACCAATGGTTCAAAGAAGAAGTAAAAAGGGAAATAAAAAATATCTTGAGAGAAATGAAATAAAAAAACCTCAATTTACCAAAGCTTATAGGATATAGCAAAAACAATTCTAAGAAAAAAGTTTATAGTAATAAATGTTTACATTAAAAAGAAAAGTCTCAAATAATACCCAAATTTATACCTCAAGGAACTAGAAAAAAAACTAAGCCCAAAGTTAGCAGAAGGAAGGAAATAATAAGGATTAGAGCATAAATAAATAAAGAATAGAAAAACCATAGTAAAGATTAAAACTCAGTCTATTTTTGAAAAAAATAAGTAAAATTGACAAACCTTTAGATAACCTAGACTAACCTTGAAAAATGGAGCAAAAATTCAAATAAATAAAATCAAAAATTAAAAAAGACATTCCAACTGACACTACAGAACTATAAAGGATCATAAAAGACTACTAAGAATAATTACATGCCAACAAACTTGATAACTGAGGAGGAATGGATGAATTCTCAGAAACAAACAATTTCCCTAAGAGTCTTGAAGAAATAGAAAATCTGAACAAACCAAAAATAAGTAAAAGGATTGAAGTAGCAATAAAAAAACCTCCAAACAAAACAAAAACCTCAGGACCAGAAGGCTTCATGGGGGAATTCTACCAAGCATTTAAAGAACAATTAAGGCCAATTCTTCTCAAACTCGTTCAAAATTTTGAAGAGGAGACAATATTTCTAAACATTGTTTATGATGCCAGCGTTACTCTTATAGCAAAACTAATTAAGGACACTACAAGAGAAAAAAATTGCAGGCCGATATGCATGATGAACATAGAGGCAAAAATCCTCAACAAAATATTAGCAAGCAAAATTCAACAACACATTAAAAGAATCCTATGTCACAATCCAGTGAAATTTATTATTGGGATGCAAGGATGATTAAACATCCACAAATTAATAAATGTGATACACCACATTAAAAGAATGAAGAACAAAAAGCATACGATCCCTTCAATAGAAGCAAGAAAAGCATTTGAGAAAATTCAAGATCCTTTCCTGATAAAAACTCTCAGCAAATTAGGTATAGAAGGAATGTCCCCCAGCACAATAAAAACTATATATAATAAATCTACTGCTAACGTTGTACCCAATGGAAAAAAAAAAGTTAAAACCCTTTCCTCTAAAATTAGGAAGAAGGAAGCTCGCCCACTTTCACTACTTTTATTCAACATAGTACTGGATGTCCTAGCCAGAGCAACTAGGCAGGAAAAAGAAATAAAAAGCATCCAAACTGAAAAGGGAGAAATAAAATTGTCTGTATTAACAGATGACTTGGTTATATGAAACAAAAACCTTAAAGACTATAATTAAACATCATAAAAGTAATAAGTAAATTCAGTAAAGTTGCAATAACAGCGAACTATTTGGAAAACAGGAAAGAAAATAATCCCATTTACAATAGTATCCAAAGGAATAAGATACTGAGGAATAGATTTAACCATCTAACCCATAATGAAAGAGCCATCAGAATACAACACAGCTTTATCCTCCTGAGTCACCAGAAAGAATTATGGGCCTATCAGAAGCATCATCACCCAAGGGCTGACATGAGGTACCAGCAGCATGAGACTGAAGCACATAGCACCTAGCGGCAGAATGTCATGTGTGGCTGTCTTTGAGGGAGCAAAAGCAAGAGAGACACAGAGGTGATTCAGGAAGAGCTGACCAGAGGAATTCTAACACATCAGGAAAGGAAATGTTTTCCATCCATGTTGATAAACTTAACCAGGAAAACAAACTTGCCTAATTTGATAATTATCTATTTATCAGGAAAAACAATAACAAGGAAAGAATGCTGCATCTAATGACAGCAGGCCCTTAGCAGGGTATAAAAGGCAAATGGGGTAAGGAGACTTCTAAACCTTCCAAACCTACCTGCCTGGAATCCCACCTGGAACCTCCACCCTCTGACACCATGGTTAACTCTTGTGGCTCCGTCTGCTCTGACCAGGGCTGTGGCCAGGAGACCTGCTGCGAACCCAGATGCTGCCAGACCACCTGCTGCAGGAACACCTGCTGCCGCCCCACCTGCTGTGTGTCCAGCTGCTGCAGGCCTCAGTGCTGCCAGTCTGTGTGCTGCCAGCCCACCTGCTGCCGCCCCAGCTGCTGCATCTCCAGCTGCTGCCGCCCCAGCTGCTGCCGCCCTAGCTGTTGTATCTCCAGTTGCTGCCGCCCCACCTGCTGCATCTCCAGCTGCTGCCGCCCCACCTGCTGCATTTCTAGTTGCTACAGGCCTTCTTGCTGTATCCCCAGTTGTTGCCGCCCAACCTGCTGCCAGACCACCTGCTGCAGAAACACCTGCTGCCGCCCCAGCTGCTGCTAGACCACCTGCTGCTGCCCAACCTGCTCTAGTGGTTCTTGCTGCTGAGCGCTCTGACCTGCACTGACCTATTCCTCATCAACCAACACTCTCGATGTAGTGCATCTGTGAGATAAATCATGTGAGGCCAAAAGTTCAGTTCCAACTAATTTTTAGATTCAATTTGGCCTCCAAATATACTTCCCCTGCCACGGTGTTACTATTACTCAACCAAATGAGCACAAGTTTGAATTTTTTCTGAAATCTGCCAACTACCATGTCACCCCAATTCAAATATTTGCTTTTTGCTGTAATTTCTCATATGGAGATATTCCTACATCTTCAATAAATCTTAATTTTCTGGGCATACAAATGTACGGGCATCATGTCTCATTATTTTTCCTTCTTGAATGTCATTCACTTGTCCATTTCCCTGTTCTTCTTCTCTGCAGAGGGAGAAGAGCATAGCAGATGATTTCAGGGGCTCCACCTCCATTGCCCCAGCACTCTTCATTCTAATATAGGAAGATGATTTCTTAGAGCAAGCACCTGGAGCTCTGTGCCTGAGGACTTTATCTGGATAATAGAGTAAGCTCTGGGCTGGAGAGTTTAAGCCTCTAGGAACAGCACTCGCCCAGTGAATGGGAGTTGTTGGATAAATGCCCTAGCAGCCTAGCTTGTTTCCCCTCTAGTGGAGGCTATATTGTACCTGTCCTCCAGAGGTCCTCAGTGGGAGTGACCTCCAGCTGTCTACAGGAGTATTCTGCTCATTAACTCACCCAACATTGACTTCCCTTTCTTCCCTGGATCATCTTCCAATTTCCCTGCAGCACTTCTGTGGCTCATCTCTCAAATGTATACACTTGATCTCAAATTCCTGTTTCTGGGTCTGCTCTGAAGGAACCCAATCTAAAACACCAGTGTTCCTATTCTCAGTTTCAGTAACACTCAAAACATTTTTGTATAACATGAACGGTCACCGCAATGTTATGGTCAACTCTTGAGTATACTGTCAATTGAACTGGTCTATCTGCTGAACATTTAGCTATTTCTTCCTTTCAGTTTTTGCACAGTTTTTTTTGTTTGTTTGTTTTTTACCAATTATCTTCAATCATTTTTCTTCCATAGCATTGTACCTGAGGGATAGGGTAAAATCACCATGTTAGTAACACATCCTAGTGAAGGCTGTGATTAGAAAGGTTGCACCCTAAGCTGTGTGTGCTAAGTTAGATTCACAAAAATCAGGTCCTGAAATAGGGATTTGTGCATAAGTGATTCATAAGAAAATGCTTTTCTGGTGAAATCTGTTAGAAACTGTGGGGAGCAAGATAGCGTGGTAGGGAAGCTAAGCCAAAATGTGATTTCAGTTGACTTTTATGCTAATCTGACTCCATAGGAAGCTCTAGACTGTACATGGTACCTGCTACTCTGAGAGGCAAGGTGCTTGGACCTTTGTACTCCAACATCAGTTATGAGTAGCTGTTGGTTACCCTGTGAGAATAGAAGATGGCACAGAGAGGGCAGAAACCTCCAGATGTGGTAGCTCCTATGAGCTGAAGACAACTACTTGGAGTACAGTTCAGGTGAAGAGTATGAGCCACTGGCCGTGGGTACTCACACTAGCGTGGGGTGGGGGCACCTTCCTGGTTGAAAGGGATCTGAAATTGTCCTCTGAGGAGACATAGACTGGCAGAGTGGATAAAAATCCATAAGCCTAGTATCTGCTGTCTACAGGAAATGCATCTAAACCACAAAGATGCTTTAAGGCTCAAGGTCAAGGGATGTAAAATAATCCTCCAGGCAAATGGAAGTCAAAAGAAAGCAGGGGTAGCTATACTTATTTCAGATAACATAAGCTTTAAAATAGCAAAAGTAAGAAAGGACAAAGACGGCCACTATATAATGGTGAAAGGGAAGATACAACAAGAATAATTAACAATTCTCAATATTTATGCATCCAACTCAGGAGTACCCAGATACATAAAGCAAACCCTGGCTGATCTAAATAGCATGATAAACAATAACGTCATAGTAGCCAGGGACTTCAGCACCCCACTGAATGAACTAGACAGATCTTCCAAACAGAAAATAAGCAAGGAAATAATGGACTTAAACAGAGCTCTAGAACAAAAGGGTCTGACAGACCTCTACAGAACATTCCACCCAAATAAAGCCGAATATACATTCTTCTCACCAGCTCATGGAACTTTCTCCAAAACTGATCACATACTAGGCCACAAATCAGACCTCAACAAATTCAAAAAAATAGAAATTATGCCATGTATCTTCTCAGATCATAGTGGTATAAAATTAGAGTTCAATTCCAACAGCAATACTCACCACTTCACAAAGTCATGGAAATTAAACAATCTATTGTTGAATAACTATTGGGTCAAGGAGGAAATACAGAAAGAAATCAAAAGATTCTTCGAACTAAATGATAATGGGGACACAAGTTATCCAAATCTGTGGGATACAGCAAAAGCATTCCTGAGAGGAAAATTGATAGCATTAAATCCTCACATCCAAAAAATAGAAAGTTCAAAAATCAACAATCTAATAAACAGTCTCAAGGAATTGGAAAAGGAAGAGCAAATCAATTCCAAATCTATCAGAAGAAAAGAAATAACTAAGATCAAAGAAGAACTAAATGAAATTGAGAACAAAAGAACTATACAGAAGATCAACAAACCCAAAGCTGGTTTTTCGAAAAGATAAACAAAATTGACAGCCCTTTTGCCAGATTGACAAGAACTCAAAAGGAAAGGACTCTAATAAACTCAATTAGAAATGAAAAAGGAGAGGTCACAACAGACACCATGGAAATACAAAACATTATCTTTGAATACTATAAAAACCTACATGCCCCAAAACTACATAATGTCGAGGAAATGGACAAATTCCTGGAAACATACAACCTCCCTAAGTTCATTCAGGAGAAAATAGAATTCCTGAACAGACCAATATCAAGCACAGAAATTGTTTTTTTGTTTTTAAATAAATTTTATTATGTATGTTTAAGGTACACAACGTGTGTGTTTTCCGTAAGAAAATTTTTTAAAATTCAAGGTGAACAAAATGCTTACTCTACTTAAGATCAAAAAAGCAAGAAATGATTGAAGATAGTTAAAGAACAAAAAGAAATTCAACCAATGGCCTATAGGTATTTAGATTGCTTTGAATATTGCTCTGAGTACATATACCATTTCATATCAAGAATGGTAGCATTATTAGTACTTATTCTTAAATATTTTAATGGGATTTGATTTTTATCAGACAAGAACTTAATTGAATTGAAAATCTGTTAACTTCCCTATTAATTACACATGTCTATTGTAGGCTTCTCTATTTAGACTACGATGTTATAACTGCATCACTGTAATTCACATAATGGTAGTACATTTAAGGCACAGACAAAATACATACCAGGCATTTATAAAAAATGGTTGAGTACTAACATAATGTGTGTGATACCTGACCAAAATATCCTTTTTCCACGCCATTCTTTAAAGGAGGGACAACACAGGTTCCTCAATTGTGATTGGGTCATCAAAATTTCCTTGTGTTTACCTAATGAGGTCTTTACATGGACTTCTAAAGAGGCAATGAAATGATTAGTTTACAAATTTTTAAAAAGCCAGGTTTGGTGCCTTTAGTCCCAGCTACTTGGGAGGCTGAGGCAGGAGGATTGCTTGAGCCTAGGAGTTCAAGGCTACGGTGAGCTATAAGCTATGATTGGGCCACTGCACTCCAGACTGCATGACAGAACCAGACTCTATCTCAAAAAAAAAGAGGGATAAATAAATAAATAATAGATTGGCCTCTATCAAAAAAACACAAAACAACAAATGTTGGCGAGGATGTGGAGAGACAGGAACACTTCTACACTGCTGGTGGGACTGCAAATT